CTAGTGATGTGCGGGCAGGGCTCAAAGCCCGACAAGCCCGACAAGCCCAGCCCTACTAAGCCTGGCCGAGCCGGGCCGTCAGTAAGGGCTTTGCTAGGCTCAGGGCCGGGCTTATAAGTCAAGCCTGGCCTTGCAAGCCCTGAAGCCCGGGCTTGTTAAAGTGTTTAAGGCGATCAAATACTGTACAGTACCTGTGTGACACAGAAATAAAAATTGGCCGTGACAGTTTGTGACTCAACCGACCGTTTCAGGCAAGTTGAGCTCGAGATGGCGGATACGGTGTCAGCGCCGACCAGACCTCAGCGCCGCCAACAACCCACCAGCAAGCTCGTTGACCCGACCAACAGCGCGAAGCCTGTCACAACTAGCCATCAGAAGGCAGTAGCGGAACATACTCGGGTACAGAATCAGCACACTGAGCCAACAGCCGACACTCAAGACTCTGCACAAGCTACTTCTCACGATGTGCGCCCGGTCACAGCTCCGACTCCAAACACGCAGACAGATGATGTACAGGAGCTCACAAGTGATGAAGACGAAGTTCTAGTTCACAAAAGTAGGTCATATAGGTAGCATCAGTGCTGCAAACCTGGATATACTGAGCCATAACACAGGAAAGCGTTCTACAATCATTATAAGCTCCGAAGGTGATGATGAAGATGTCTCCGACAGTGCAAAATCAACAGATGGAGGTGAGAAGGCCGCTCAGAAGAAGCCAGCAAAGAAGCTAAAGAGTAAGTAATCATCCTTCGCCCTTGAGTATAGAAGTTACAAATACCTATGCAGAGAAACGCCGCACACACTCCAAGAGTCCTATAGCAGAAGAGGTTGGACCTGATGGTCTCCTTGCCGATATCCAAGTCCAGGACATCAACGAGACAGTCCGCCGATCTAAAGAGGCAGCAGACGTCAACCCGTTCTTTGGCCCAAAGTTTAAAGAGACTGAGAAGGGAAAGTTGGTGACGCACCGCATGTGTAACATCTGCAAGTATGTTCATTTGACATTGCTCATATATATTATATTTATGCCGAGGGCTGCAGAAGCTCGTTTGTGCATGACGTGTCGACTCTTCGTCACCATATGGAGTCAAAGCATGAGGTGCGCAGATTTGACATATTTTTACAATTCTTGTTCATCTCAACACCACTGTAGGGCAAATATTGGAATCACATCGAGCTCAAAAAGCTCAAGTCAATGCTTCCGAAGGACCGAGAGAAGGAGCGTGTAGCGCTCGCTGCTGAGAAAGAGCGCAATAAGCAGTTGCAACTCGACCCGCACCTGAAAGAGATGCCGAAGAAAGAGCGTGTTATTGCATATACGCATCAGGTCTTCCGACGGGCTGCCATAGAGTGGCTGGTTGCCACCGGGCAGGTGCGCCCAACACTACTAACTCACAAGAGCTACTGAGCTCACTTCAGGGCTAGCCTTTATCTGCGCTCGAACACGAGTCTTTCAAGAAGATGATCAACATTGCTTCTCAGGCACGAGACGGTGTTGAAATCCTCTCACGCAAGGTTGCGCGACAGGAGATCATCGCCATGTTTAAGGAGTATATGCGCAACCTGAAAGCGAAGTTGAATGTGAGTTTACATAGGCTAATTTAGAAACCTTGCTGAGCTCCCGTATTTGATAGAGTTCTCGGGTTACCGGGAAGATAAACTTAACAACCAATGGATGGCAGGCAGACAACATCGACGCCTATTCGTCGGTCACAATTCATTTTATTGAGAAGATCTCCGAGGACCATTGGGGAATGGAGAGTGCCCTCGCAGGCTTCACGCGCTTGAATAATGCCCATAATGGCTGTCGATTGGGGCAAGCGTTGTTCAAGGTAGTCAACCGTCTAGGTATTTCTCACCAGGTGCGTCCTTCTGTTGTTTGCTTTGCATGCTGATCTCATAGCACTTTTAAAGATTGGCTATGTGACCTGTGACAATGCAAAGAACAACGGTACCATGCTTAAAGAATTTGCACGGTTAGTGAAGCGGCGAACCGGCACTAGTTGGGACCCAAAGGAAGGTCGCATAAAGTACGTCAAAGGGCACTGTCATAGCCACGCTTCTTACGATATCTTTTGCAGCTGTATTGCGCATGTTATCAATCTTGCCACACAAGCTATGCTTAGCACGTACAGCAAAGCGCCACATTATGACCCACAAGATCCCGAAAAGCACTTGCCCGCCACTACGGTGGGTGACAGTGATACACGTGATGAGGTTGGCCTCATACGTGCGATCTCTGTCAAGGTATGTGGCTGTTGTATCTACTTACCTGGTACTCATGCTATGTCTGTCGTAGAGCGCTCCTCTGCAAGCGCAGGAGACGTATC